AAACTGACTTACTGACTTTTGACTTACTCTACTTAAGAAAATGAGGGATATGAGTAATATTTTAGACGCGCTCACTTTCACTTTATACGCAGATACAATCAATTGCAGCACAGCTGTGCAGTGCACTGACTGCTTTCAGTATGCCAACCAGTGTGGACCTGGAATACTATAATAATAGATATTTGCTTCAGGTTTCCCCCAGATACCAGTTGTTCCTCTACCATACATTTGGATGTGTATTACAGTGTGGAAGTGAGTGTGTTGATAACAGGATGAACCTCTCCTGAATCAACACTCTGCTTCTGTCTCCCCTTCCTCTCCTCTTCTCCTATCCCCATGTCTTATCAACAAGATGGAGAAGGAAAGGGATGGACAAAAACACAAACTGTGTGTGTGTGTGTGTGTGTGTGTGTAGTCTGTCTGTCTGCATGATGTTGCATCATTCTGACTGGGCTGAAAAGCGGCTATGATGTAACTGGCAGTAATACCTCCAGACTGACAGAGGGATAGTGCATGAGATACTAAGGTGGTGGGGTGTGGGGGCTTGGGAGGAGGGCTAAAAGGAAGAAAGGGAGAAAGCAGAAGCTGAGAGGTACAGTATTTAGACTTTTGTAAACTGAAATGAATGTGCGCACATACACTGTCAGTTTTTTTGTGTGTACAGCACACCTGGCCAGTAAAGGTTATTCTGATTCTGATTCATAAATCTCACCAGGGGGGTGTTCTTTGTATGTTGCTAAACAGATCCTCAATCAAATGAGCAGTCCTGGATTTTCTAATGCCAGCTAAGATTATCCAGAGGTTTCAGTTCTTCAACCCCCACCTGTGTTGTGGATTAGAAAAGCTGGATTCAATCATCCAAGATAAGTGCGCGTTTTCGTGGTCAGTGACTAGACTGTATATATCGACAGCTGAAACCATGATCAGCTGGTTTCTGATTGGCTGCATGCAGATGTCTAAGGAGAGAGCGCAGTCTGTCACTCCAGCAGAGAGAACTTATGCTGGAGGGAGATGAAGAATTTGAAGATTTGATTTGCATGTAACTGCAAAAGCAAACTCTGCAAAATGCAGAGAAGTGGCTGACAAATTACCTATTTAAATACTTAATGTCACCACGACTCCATGTCCGCTGCTTTGATATGACAGCTCGGTTTGTAGTACAGTATCTCTGTTAAAAGCATAAATATTCAAAAACTTTTCTGGGATTGAGAAGGGGCTTATAATCTAAGGGGGAAAATTAATTTAAAAACTCAGTGTGAGGACAACCATGAAAAGTTTTTGTGTTTCAGTTTGTGGTGTTAAATTATGGAACAGTTTAATGTTAGAGTTAAAGCAATGTTCAAACATGAGTGAATTTAAAAAAGAACCATAGAGACATGATATTTATGAGGTATAGCGGTGAGGAAAGAGTTTGACAATTATCAGGCGTTCATAGTGATTATTGTATTCTTCTGTCTGTAAAATAACAATGCAGATATGTAAGTTGTTAAAAAAATAGGAAGATGAATAGTTATTAATCATTAACTGATGGAGAAGAGGTGGGATTCAAGAAGTTTCAACTTCCACTTCATTTCACACATGTACACTGATTTATTTCATTTATTTTCTTTTTCTTCTTTATCTGCTTGTTTGTATAATTATTGATTATAATCCTGAGCACAGCTGTGTGTTTATACATCAACAGAGTGACAAGCTGGAGCAGGACAAAACATTTGCAATGTAAAAGAAGTTCCAATGAACACAAGAGATGTCTAGATCATCTTCATTTATTAATGACTGTTTAGATGATAAAAGTATGCACTCATATTCCTATTACTTCATATAATCTCAGCATTATGCAGCAGGTAGGCTAAGTAAAATACAAGAATATTCAGGAAACTGGTATCACTGTAATTTACCATATTACATATTTATTATCCCTGATAGACTAGTGGTTAGAGCCCAGCGCTCCCGCCACTGCGGCCCGGGTTCGAGTCAGGGTTGCAACAGGAAGGGCATCTGGTGTAAAACACGTGTCAAATGTCAACATGCGAATCATCAGCGTGACAATTCGCTAACGGGAAAAAGCCGAAAGTGACATTCATACACTTACTGTAATTCTACTACCATTATTACCTTTTTTAATAGCTTTGCCACAGTAATCAAATGGCAGATTTTAAATCAAGTTTGATATTCTCCAGATTTAGTTTTTTTCGTACAACATTAGAGCACGTCAGTTGTATATTTATGTAACACAGCAAATGGTTAATGCTGTCGCCTCACAGAAAGAAGGCCGCCTTTCTGTGTGGAGTTTACATGTCCTCCTTCTTCCTGTGTGGGTTCTCTGCGGGTACTCTGGCTTCCTCCCACAGTCCAAAGACATGCATCTTAAGTTGATTGGAGACTCTAAATTGCCATTAGGAGTGAGTGTGAGTGTGTGTGGTTGTTTCTCTACATCTCAGCCCTGTGATAGACTGGTGACCTGTCCAGGGTTTAGCCCATGATGAAGGTGAGTGATTCCTTTGCGTTGCCATGTTGGAAAGTGGATGAGGTTGTTGTGCAGTTGAAAATCAGGGTTGTGCCTAATTGAAGTGTATCTACATGGTGTTAATGATGATTTAGTGATTTTGTTCACATTCCACAAGGCTGTCAGAGTTGAGGAGATTGTGATATTTTTACGGTAGTGCACTTTGTTTATTGAGTGTAATAAAAAGGCCAGGCAACTAAAAGTGTTTTGCATTGATTCTGTTCTAATTTTATCCATGAGGTGTTGCGATTGTCCTTCTGAATCTATTTGACTAAATATTGTGGTTGATTTGCTAAGAAGTAATGTTGAAAGTTCGACGCTTCTAGGCCACCATATGATTTCTTCTTTTGTACTGTTGACAGGGGGATTTGGGGTTTTTTTGTTTTTCCACTAAAATTGTGAAGTTAATGAGTCAAGTGAGTTAAATCATTTAGCTGTGGGTGTTGTGGGGAGCACTAAAAAACTGTTCATTTGTGATTCAAGTTTTCATTTTAACTGTAGCGATTCAGCCGATGAGTGAGAGTGGGAGGTTGGACCTGCGTTTGAAATCATCTTTTATCTTTTTTAACACAGGTGTGTAATTGAGGTTAAAAAGCTCTGACAGACTAAGGGAAATATTGATACCTAAGTATTTAATGTTGCTGGTGTGAAGTGGGTGGGGGGAGTCTTGAGCTGCAGAATCTCAGGCATCCTAGGAGAGCAGTAGTGTGATCTACTTGTTAAGTACCAAATCCATTTACAGTATTTACTTATTGGACCACAAAATAACACAGGAAAGCATCTCAAGAGCCTTGATAAATAATGAATACCCTGCAGATGTCCAGATCACGATATAGGCATTATTAACAACTGGTAAAATCAGTCCGACCTCACTGTGTGCTGATTTCACGCACTGTTCTGTTACCATTTCCTCAAATGATCAAGTTTCACAAAGACATACATTTGCTTCTTCCATGGGTGTATACAGTACATTGTGCTTCTTTTGTATTTTATGATAGTCTGATCTTGACAAAAGCAGCTGTAGATATAGAACAACACTAACAAGACCAAGGAGCTTATTGAGGACTACAGGAGGGAGAAAGGAGGCACACACAATCCCATCCATATTAATGGGATGGTTGTTGAACGTGTCTTCAGCTTCAAATTCCTGGGGACCCACATCTCAAAGGATCTGTCCTGGACCACCAACACCTGCAGCCTGGTTAAGAAGGCTCACCAGGACCTCTTCTTCCTGAGGACACTGAAGAAGAACCACCTGTCTTCAGCCATCCTGGTGAACTTCTACCGCTGTGCCATCAAGAGCATCCTGACCAGCTGTATCACAGTCTGGTATGGAAACTGCTCTGTCTCTGACCCCAAGGCACTGCAGCGGGTGGTGAAAACTGCCCAACGCATCACAAGGACTCCACTTCGAGCCATTGAGGGTGTCCACAGGGAACGCTGTCTCCAACATGCTTGCAGCATTCTCAAGGTCTCCTCTCACCCTGCTCACAAACTGTTTGACCTCCTACCCTCTGGGATGTGCTTCAGGAGCCTCCGGACCAAAACCGGTAGACTCAGGAACAGCTTCTTCCCCACAGTTGTCTCCTTACTGAACCTGTCCCCCGTTGACCCCCACTGCCTTCCTCTATACCACTACACACACCTCACCGCTTCTCATCTGTCCTCCCGGGATTAATGCAATACACTTCTGTTACCTGAAACACTGAAATGATCTGTTAATTTGCACATACTCTACTCACAGAATACTGCTCTGTTATTCATTTGCACACTGTTCATATGCAGATACTGTTTATTTATCTTTATCTTTGCACTGTTTACATCCATTGAACTGTTCACTCGTAACTTATTGTTATCCTCTTATTCTGCACTGTTTCATTCCATTTCATCCCATTGCACTAGTGTTTTATAAGCTTAATGCACCTTATCCATTACTGTAATTTGAATCCATAGTTTGTTGTATATTGTACATTACCCTACATATCGTACTGTAAATATCAATTGTACATACAGTATCTATTAGTTTTGACTGTTCATACTGTAGATACTGTGCACTTTTGGTAATAGGAGGTATCACTAAACAAAGTGGAGTTGTGGATAAAGATTCTATAGATAAAAACAAACAAAATGTCAATAGAAGTTAGGCTGAGTGAATACTGTCACTTAGGTGTTTGCTGTCATGGGAGGCGACAGTGGTGCGGTGGGTAGAGCAGTCGTCTCCCAAGCGGAAGGTTGAAGGTTCCAATCTTGGTGTCTGCAGTCCACATGCCAAAGTGTCCTTGGGCAAGACACTTAGATTTGCTAGTTCTCTATAGTTGAATGCAAAAACCAAGTGTATAGTTCACATAGATTTTGGATTCTACACAGTCATACCTTTCTCATTCATTCAATTTCATTAAAACATTTGAGTATGATTCCTTATACTGTAGTTAGCCCCACTGACCTGTGTGAAATGTCCCTACTCTAACTGCTCCTTGTCTTTGGTTTTGCTCAGGTGTTCCCACGCCAACAGAGGAGGTTCTGCACCACACCCTAAGCATGCTGGTTCGTGAGCGGAAAATCTACCCAACACCCGACGGATTTTTTATTGTAACCCCTCAGACATACTTTATCACGCCAAGTCTAATTCGGACAAGCTCCAAGTGGTACCACTTAGACGAGCGATCTGCTGACCGACACCAACAGCAGCAACATCAGAACCAACAACAGCATCAGCAGACACAGTGCACATCCCCTCTCTCTGGCACCATTACACCTTCCACCTCTGGTGGTGTGCGAGATCGAACACACCCGAAATCCAGCCAAAATCACAGTGGGGGAGTTGGAGGAGGTGGGGATTCTTTTTACAACAACAGTTACCGTGGAGACGATCCCCCGAGCCACCACACTACCCTGCAGCGCCGATCCCCCAAAGACCACCGGGAAGCGTATTCATCCCCACACTCCCCACAAACCCCTCCTCAGCAAACAGGAGGCAACACAGAAAAGAGTCGTAGCAGCCTTGGGTTTCCCTTCAAGACGGACACACTAACCAAGCACCGAGGAGGAGGAGGTGGTGGTGGGGGAGGAGGGTTAGGAGCTACAGGAGGAACTGGAGAGATAGAGAAACAAGCTGGTGCAGGAAGTGGTACAGGAAGTCGTAAGTTTGGCTTGAAGCTGTTTCGTTTGAGCTTTAAGAAGGATAAGGCCAAACAGTTGGCGACCTTCTCTGCACAGTTCCCCCCTGAGGAGTGGCCACTCCGTGATGAGGAGGCACCCAGCCAGCTGCCTCGCCACGTAGAAATGGAGATCATCCGCAGGATTAACCCTGACCTCACCGTGGAGAACCTTGCACGGCATACAGCAGTCATGAAGCGTCTCGAAGAAGAGCGTACTCAAAGGAGCAAAACATCCTCAGCCAATCAGAGTTCTAGGAGTAGGAGAAGTGGGGGCAGACACAGGAAACAGTCTCAGACTAAATTCAGCCGCTCACATAGCAAGACGAGGGCATCCCGTGGTGAGCCAAGTGACGGTTCCCACCTGGAGCTGGCCAACAGGGACTATAGAGCCTACTCATCCTCACTGGCTCGGTCACCGAGGGAACATGCCCTGGCCGTGGAACGGCAGCGAGCCCGGCTTCACCTGGCACACAGCAACCCTAACATCCTTGACTCCTCCCATCTGCCTGTCACGCCAGAGTGGGATGTGTCTGGAGAGCTTGCCAAACGTCGAACGGAAATGCCTTTCCCCGAGCCAAGCCATGGCCCATCAGCCCACCACTCCAAAGTTCACCGCTCACACTCCCACACCCAGGAGAGGAAGTCCCGGAACGAACGCAGTGACAAGGCTAAGGAGCGTTCCAGATCCATGGACAATTCTAAAGGACCACTTGGAGCTGGGATAATTGGACCACCTGATTATTATGATGACCGGAGTCGTTATTACACTGACGATGGGACACTGCGAGCCAATCAGAGCTCTTCTCACTACTGTCGTGCAACACCCCCCTCAGCAAAGCTGCCTGGTGATTCTCTGGGGCTGGATGGTGGCAGGAGTTTAGAGAAAAGTAAGAGCAGGGACAGCCTGCCAACATACTCACCCAAACCACTCCCCTCTGTCCCTCCGGATGATTACTTCCAGTGCTCCAGTTCCTCTGAGGCTGTTCTCACAGCAGCAAACCCCCTGGGAACTCTTTCCAAAAGTAGCCATGATGGATTAAAACTAGGCAGCACTGACAGGCAAGCAGACAGACAGACACCCCATTCCCTAGAAAATAAGGAGGATTTGTCAAAGGTGGGGCCTAAGGGTGGCAGCTTGCCCCCAATACCTCTCCCTATCCCTGATCCAGCCCTTCCTAATGGACGAACACCCCACAGTGCGTCCTCTGGCCAAGAGAAACGTAAGGAGATCTTTAGTAAAGACACACTCTTCAAGCCTCTTCCTAGCCTCTCTTTGCCTGGCTACAGCTCCCTGAGAAAGCCCCCTGCCCTCACCTCCTCAACTTTGTCCTCATCATGTGATGCACTTGATTCCCAGGAGGCCTTTGATGCTCCTAAACCTCTCATTGCCACACCGTCTGCCACCCCACAAGGGACTGAACCCACTACCAGCGCTGCAGAGGTCTCCTTTGATTACTATAATGTCTCCGACGATGATGAACTTGAGGAGGGTGGGACCAAAAGTCGAGGAGAAGACGAGAAGAGTGGAGGCGGCATTATAGGGATGAGAGGAGGCAGAGCAGGGACTATGCAGTGGCTGTTGGAGAGGGAGAAGGAGAGGGAGCTACAGAGGAGGTTTGAAAGAACCCTCACCTTCCCTGGTGCTAAAGAGAACCTTGCAGAGCCTAATGAGAACCAGCAATCAGCCCACTCTGCTAGACTGGACAGTATGGACTCCAGCTCTGTCACCGTCGACAGTGGATTCAACTCACCACGGTGAGAACATGCAAATACATGAATGCATTTTATACCACTTACAATACTATACAGATACATTTATTACTGTAATTTTCAAATCAAATCAAAGTTGACTGCATTATTAGATTGTTTGTAGAAGGTAGTACAGCATATTTAAGCTTGAATTTATGTTTTTATTATTTTCTCTTTAGCTTTATTGAAAGCTGATCTTTTAGCCCTACTGGCACACGTGGTTGACTGCAGGTGACAAATGCAGGTATTATCAGCAGTTTTTCAAAATAGGACAGATTGTCAGTCCGATTTCTAAGTTAGCATTCAATATAATATATTGAATTAAACTGATTTATCAGATGAAAATATTTTTGAATCTCTTATTAAATCTAATTTGGTCTTGCTTTCAGCATTTGTAAATAACTGCATTTGAAAATGACTACAACTAAAGGCTGTATCTGAAATCATTCACTGAGTAAATAGTTTTGCTTTACAGTATAGCAAACACTCAATAGTTAATACTACAATAACCAGTAAATGGAGATGTCTGACACTTACAGTGCCTTGCGAAAGTATTCGGCCCCCTTGAACTTTGCGACCTTTTGCCACATTTCAGGCTTCAAACATAAAGATATAAAACTGTAATTTTTTGTGAAGAATCAACAACAAGTGGGACACAATCATGAAGTGGAACGAAATTTATTGGATATGTCAAACTTTTTTAACAAATAAAAAAACTGAAAAATTGGGCGTGCAAAATTATTCAGCCCCCTTAAGTTAATACTTTGTAGCGCCACCTTTTGCTGCGATTACAGCTGTAAGTCACTTGGGGTATGTCTCTATCAGTTTTGCACATCGAGAGACGGAAATTTTTGCCCATTCCTCCTTGCAAAACAGCTCGAGCTCAGTGAGGTTGGATAGAGAGCGTTTGTGAACAGCAGTTTTCAGTTCTTTCCACAGATTCTCGATTGGATTCAGGTCTGGACTTTGACTTGGCCATTCTAACACCTGGATATGTTTATTTGTGAACCATTCCATTGTAGATTTTGCTTTATGTTTTGGATCATTGTCTTGTTGGAAGACAAATCTCCGTCCCAGTCTCAGGTCTTTTGCAGACTCCATCAGGTTTCCTTCCAAAATGGTCCTGTATTTGGCTCCATCCATCTTCCCATCAATTTTAACCATCTTCCCGGTCCCTGCTGAAGAAAAGCAGGCCCAAACCATGATGCTGCCACCACCATGTTTGACAGTGGGGATGGTGTGTTCAGGGTAATGAGCTGTGTTGCTTTTACGCCAAACATAACATTTTGCATTGTTGCCAAAAAGTTCGATTTTGGTTTCATCTGACCAGAGCACCTTCTTCCACATGTTTGGTGTGTCTCCCAGGTGGCTTGTGGCAAACTTTAAACGACACTTTTTATGGATATCTTTAAGAAATGGCTTTCTTCTTGCCACTCTTCCATAAAGGCCAGATTTGTGCAGTATACGACTGATTGTTGTCCTATGGACAGAGTCTCCCACCTCAGCTGTAGATCTCTGCAGTTCATCCAGAGTGATCATGGGCCTCTTGGCTGCATCTCTGATCAGTCTTCTCCTTGTATGAGCTGAAAGTTTAGAGGGACGGCCAGGTCTTGGTAGATTTGCAGTCTGTTCACAAATGCTCTCCATCCAACCTCACTGAGCTCGAGCTGTTTTGCAAGGAGGAATGGGCAAAATTTAAGTCTCTTGATGTGCAAAACTGATAGAGACATACCCCAAGTGACTTACAGCTGTAATCGCAGCAAAAGGTGGTGCTACAAAGTATTAACTTAAGGGGGCTGAATAATTTTGCACGGCCAATTTTTCAGTTTTTTATTTGTTAAAAAAGTTTGAAATATCCAATAAATTTCGTTCCACTTCATGATTGTGTCCCACTTGTTGTTGATTCTTCACAAAAAATTACAGTTTTATATCTTTATGTTTGAAGCCTGAAATGTGGCAAAAGGTCGCAAAGTTCAAGGGGGCCGAATACTTTTGCAAGGCACTGTATGAATTATCATTTTGTTACTTAGGTTGTCAAAATATGATTTTTTTTTTGTTACACATTGATTATGAAAATTTGGAAAAGTTTCAATACTTATTTTCTGTAGTACCGATACACTGATACCAGCTGCGTTTTCTTGTTCTCTCTTCTCACCAACAGCTAATTTACACACACGCCGCTACAGCCCCATCTCCTCTCACAGTGCTGTCTGCCTTGTTACTCATCTTTGGCTGAATTTTAAGATAACAGACCGTTATATATTGCAGGTTTTGCTATGGTGTTAGATCATTACAGATGACAAGTGCAGAACCTCCGTGACCAGTTTTGATTGGTAAAGAAAATGGCCCTATTGTTTAGCAATGCAACAGAGCAGTGCTAACAATAGGTGCTAATACTACTGTTAATACTTGTAGGCTACTGATACTGACCATGCATCACACATAATGTGTGCTCCAGTGCACAGAATTTGCACCCTTGAATGTTTGTGTTTTGTCCAAAAAAACATTGATAACATGGATGGTTCAGAGTGACACTGTTTAGTGTGGAATACAGATCCTGTTTGTAAAAGACAAGTTACCAACTGAATGAAACTCAGCTCATCCAGACTGACAAACTAGGGCCCAAATTCTGCAGGGGACTGTGGAGACAGATACCAGAGGCAACGATCAGCAGCAGAAACCCACTTTACATTTATCATACATTAAGTGATGCTGTGATGTAAAGAGATTGTTTTACCTGTGTACCTGCGAGTGATCAGCTATAGGTCTACAAAGCAAAAGCAGGGCACAAGATGGCCAAACTTTGGCATGTGCTGACCAGTTGCAAGCCCCGTGCACAGCTGGATGTGTTCACTGTTGCTGGTTGACATGTAAACTAAATGAAGCAGGAGGAGTTCAGTGAACATTGAGTATGTTTGGAGTCATTTTAGCACTTGTGAGTGGAGAACACATTTTCTTATGCCTTTAGTGGGCTTTTGAGGACTGGTCATGACAAATATCAGAGGGACAATTTTCCATTTTTTCATATTTTCCGGAGATGTGTCCCCTGTGGAGATTACGCCCAAGGTCTACAGTCATTCTGCTGTTCTCTGCTACTGGCCAAGAAAAGAAAGTTGTGCCTCATTGTCATGTTATAGCCTTGTTATGCTTATCTTTTAAATAAAATGTGAAATTTTATGTCCCTATATGGACGTCAAGTTTTCCCCACGATATTGAAGTTAGAAATTCCAATATCATGACAACACTGTGTGTTGTGCCCTCACTGACAGGTGCGGTGTCAAATGGCAAATGAAAGTTTGTTGGCAGATCTCAGAAACAGTGGGTTTTAAAATACAGCTATACAGTACATAAAACAGGCTACACAAAAACTGTACAAAAAGAACAGCTGTTATTATTACAGCAATAAGTAAAAAAATATTCAGGTACAGTCAGTGCAGGTGATTGCTGCATTGACACAATGTTTTACAAAGTAAAGTATTGTGTGTTAGTGCACTTAGCAGCAGTGAATGGGATAGTTTGATGAGATCACTTTGCCTAGATAATATGCATATAATATCACTATAAACTAAGCAAAATTATAATTTGGTAAATGTTTAATCAAAGTAAAAGCAATCAGTAATAAGAATTTAGAGCACGCTTTTGGTGATGTATGTTGGAGCAAAGCAAATAGCCTTAGGTTTAGGCTGACTTTATTAATCCAACTATGGAACACATAAAGGTTAGGTTGGTTGGGCACCAGGTAAGAGTTATGCTGACATCAGAGTAATTGGATAATAGCCTGGTTCTACTAGGTGGAATAGCATTTATCTGTGTAAAATAATTTGAAACTTAGTGCAATTACTGGAAAAGGGTGATGGTGAATAAGGTAGGTAGTTAATTGCTTCTAATGGACACCGCAAAATTAACCTGTAATAACAGAGGGAGATGGGAAGTTAATACATTTTCGTAGCACTTAGGAAACTCCATAAGACACCACTTTCCATATAGCTCAGAGAAAGGAATTGCCTGGACTGCTGAAGAGGTTGGTGTGCCATGATAGTTCTAGGCAGTCGGCCCCAGTTCCATCATTTGTCACAAATGCTGGCTTTTGGCTATTGTGATGATCATGTGAGGGCCTTTTCCACCCCAACTCTGTATGAAGTGAATGTTTGTAACCCTGTTATTCATTTTTGTGTTTGCCTGCAACAGAAGTGGAAGCTTTACACATTTCCTGGCATCCTAGTGATGCTGTGATTGTATCATTTGTCATTGTTTGTCTCTGTCTCTCTGCAGAACAAGGGAGAGCCTAGCGTCTAACACCTCTTCTATAGTAGAGAGTAACCGTCGGCAGAACCTGGCGCTGAGCCCCGGCCACCTTGGCTTCACTACCGGCAATGGTCCGCCCTTCTCATTCCGTGCCATCCCAGAACCTGCTGGTACCCAACCAGAAAAACTCCAGAAGCCTAGCACCTGCCTTGCATCAATCACCAGCGTCTAGAGGCAGAACTAAGGGTTGGATGTGGTGCTGAAAGCCAATAGACGGGGGCCAGAAACTACAGATGTGACCCCCAAGGACTGTTACACCTTTAGACTGAAAGCCTGACTGAACAGTGGAGCTGCCACAGGCCCACTGTGGAACTATAGCAGTACACACACACACACACACACACACACACACACACACACACACACACACACACCAGGCCACTGGGCAAACTGACCATGTCAATCTACAGCCTCTTGTCTTTACACTGCTGTTGTGTTACTTCACTTGCGTGTGCGGGTGGGTGTGTGTGTGGGTTATGTTTGTAAAATCTGTAATCTCAGGTCATGTTCTTTCCACTCCCATTCCAGCTGCTCCAAATCAGTACATCTCCCTCTAGCAGTGTGTCCTGGTATTACACAGTGAAGACATGCTGCTCTGCTAACAACTGTGTACTATACAGTATACTGTATAGTATACTAATCAGAACACACACCCACTGAACAAGCTCTTCTTTTAGATTAATCACTTGCACACACGGTGTAAGGTGCAACACCACAGGAAATGACAATAGCCTCGACCCTCCAAATTGCAACTCCAACGTGAAGTGGGTAGACAGGCAACTGAGTAACCTTTAACTAGGGCTGTTTTTACCCTAACACCCTCTTTAGAATGAATGTGAGTGGTTCTGTCTGTTGGATGCCACGGTGCCCATTTGAACTGCATGAATACTGTTGCTAGTTTTTAGCCACCTTTAGCAATGTCCTCTAGGTGGGAGTGCATATATGGACAACCTGAAATGCAGCTCCAGAATGAGGTTATTGATTGCAGACTGTGTAGATCTTCCACTTTTTCTCATTTTTTTTATGTTACCTCTCATGTTCACTGGATGAAGCAACATAATGCTATTGCTCCCTGAGGGGTCATTCCTGTGTTACAGCAGCACAGAAAGGGGCTGAGAGGGAAGAAAGCAGAAAAACAACTATTTGAAATAAACTAGGGGAAAATAGATGTTAAAGGTATTAGAAAAGCTTGATTAAAAGGCTGTGTACAGTATATACATGACAGTACCTTACACAATACAAATAAATTTGATTATAGGGTGTAAATATTTACATTTATTGACAGTTGAAATTAATATTTAATGACATAAAGCACTTTTTACTGACTGTGATTCCACATAGATAGAACATATATAAGTGACTGAGATCCTACTTGCCACATTTTGGCCTGTAATAGGTGGCATACTGGCAACCAGAGACCCTAGAGTCCTGCTAAAATATAAATGTATTATGCTCTCTGCTCAGGTAGTTAATTTGGCACAAGATATACAATTTCCACTTTGCCACACACAAACCCACTAAGATTTTTAGATATTAGTGATTAAAGCCTGGCGCACAGGAGCGCATCTGCTGTAACATTAGGCATCTTTGATAGTTAAGAAACATATAGATGTGTGATAAAGTTGAATTAATGCTGTTATTAACAAGGTGTAGAGACGTTAGTAGGTACTTGTTATATTCACATTTTGTTTATTTGTATTAGTTTAGCAGAATAACCGCCAACAGTACTCAGGGGGTGGAAGGGAGTAACACATAGCAAGGGAGCCAGAAGGTCATCAGTAAAACCAGAAAAAGAACACAAAAACTGAGAAAATTGTGGTTTTGTTTTTATATGACAATTTTCACCATGTGTTACTTATATCCATTCCAACCGAAGTGAAAGGACCGTGGCACCTTCATTCCAGTAAACACTTAAAGCAGTAAGAACAAAAAACACGGAAGGTGTGAGTGTCAAACTGCTTGAAGACGCAACACTGCATCCAGTGGACATGAAGGGTTACGGTCACATTCCTGTTGAGTTTCATAGATAAGAGCTGCTCAAAAGCAAGATTTTAACCAGCAAAAATCATTGGGCATTTTCAGCACATCTATAGTGAATTTGAAATTAAAAGTATAAATTTTGTTGCATCGGGAACAGATGTACTGGCACTCAACATCCAGCATCCAACAGAGAATGTGATCTACACCAGTTTTATACAGAACAAGCAGGAATTTTAATTTTTTTTTTTCACCATTTCTTTATTTATACCCAACTGATTTACCATTCATTTACATTTCTGTCATGACTACCTGAGATTTTCTTCAAACTGTTTGTATCATAACCCTGAGCCACTTTCACTCCTGGTGCTAAGATATATTATGGTTAGTGAAAGCCATGATTATCATCCTAATAAAAGAGTGATGATATAGATGGAATATATTATTAAATGGCTGCTTAAACTTGTAAAATCGGATACCTGGATACTGTTGGCAATATTCATTTAATCCCATTTATAAAGAATTCGGGTGAACCTGGGATTCCACACTGAATAGACGGATGCACGAGCAGACATAGGGGTGACCACTGACTATGGCACAGGGAGATGTAAAATAAGACCTACGTTTGAAATGTGCTGGTTTTAAATAATAAAACCAGACCTATGCTGAGCTGGATCTACCTATCTTGAAAAATCCTAGTCCTATAGATTCCTCTACAACTACCTCCACAGCAGCAAAAACACCACCTGTCTTTTCTGTTATTACACCGTCATCAGCCTCTAATCTGTGAATGTCTACACACACACGCCGTCCCCTCCTTTTCCTTTTCTCACCCAGCAGTAAATATGGAAATTGTGGTTGTGAGTTTGTGTATATATATATATATATATACACGCACACAGACACACAAGCACACTAAACATCAAAGTGCTGGACTCCATGTTGTTCCCTATCTTTACTAACAAGATTTTTTCTAATGGAACATCATGGCATGTACCCCCACCCTCCCACTCCTCGTCCTCTTCATTATTTGCCTCTAGTTGTACATGACTTCCTCTTCAGAGTGAACCTCTGTCTGGATCCTAGAAAGGGACTTCAACCCAGATGGTGTTGAAGTAACAATGCAAGCTAGCCCACTGTGGTGAGGCCCACAGTAAATATCTGATTCACTGAGGGTACGCACACTGTTAATTAGCCTTAAGGGGATCAGTACGCTTGAAACGAACTAGTATATATGGTGCATTGTCTCATCATGTCTACAGTCAATATTTCCACCTGTTTTGAATTGCTATGCCTGCGCTGAAGTGTGCTCTCAATGTCCACACTGGAAGGCCATCATATCCTCCTCCTGCTGCATCCCACTGCCTCCAGTCTCCCCAAAAATTCAGTCTTTGTAGTCTTAGCATAATGAATTGTGTTGATGATGCACATTTTCAGGAAATCTGTCCTCAAGAGACATTAATTGTGTTGCATTCAGTTGTTCAAATGAAATGAAACTGAGTGAGAAGTTCAAATCCTTTCTCACCTTCACACACCTGTCCAGTCACCATGAGCTGGGTGTGATTATCAGACTGTTTTAGAAAGGTACAAGTTTACCAAAAAAACACCTAGCCTTTTAACATAATACAGATTATAACTGCAGACAATGCAGAATCACTAAAACACAAGCTGAATTGGATGATGCGATTACCATTTTAGAAGTACACCTTACTCTGTGACATGAAACGATGTATATTAGGACACTTGTCACTTTCACTTTGAGTTAACTGAACTGATGTATAGTAGACTTAAAAAAAAAAAATCCTACTCAGTGGCTTCCCACCAGCAAACACGGCTCTATTTTCCTGAATTAGGGCACAGCAGTAAACTTGTCTCTAAATTCCAGGCGCAGCGGGCATATGGGTGTGTCCAGCCATGTTCTGCGATTTTCATGACCACAAGTGCAGTGCAGTTTTGTGCACAGCTGGGCTTACCGGGCGCATTGTAAAGGAGAGGCAAAATACATTATTAGTGGAGGGAATGCATCATGAACAGGTGGAGTCAAGGCTGACTTTAGTTACTGTATGTCCAGTCAGACCGGCTTCTCTCATCCCCTTTAAAGAGCAGAATTTGATGCCACTGATGTCATAACTAGGGGTAGCACAGACTGGTCGACTAGTGGACTTCACTGCATAGTCGACCTTTCTAACATGATGTCGACTGGTCGCTGACTGTGTGATTTTCACTACCAAGGGCCTTACCTGATGTAGCAAAGGCTGTTGATGCAGCAAATAGTCATTTTTGCCATTAACAGTGACAAGCTGCACCTTGAAGAAACGCCGATAAACTCCAAACTGACTTCCCAGTCAGGTGGAATTCCACTATTGCCATGATTGATTAGCTGTTAAATTGTCACCAAACCAATTGTCCAAAAGTCATTAGCCACAGTGTGAGCTGGTGGAACAGTAGCCTGATCACCATCTGCATAGTAAAAAGTACCGGGCGCAGTTTCCAGCAACACTCAGGACATGGCTGAGAGGGCAGGCTAGCGAGGGAGGGGCAAACAAATCCCATGCACATATGCAGAATCAAACTGTCACCACCTTTAGTCTTTTCTCTTATAAAAGTAAATCATGATGTTTTAAACACTTCTAATGAAGCTTGTCCTAGTGTATTTTGACCTCTTCTTCTCCTCGTTCTGGTGCGCCACCAGCAGTTTGCTCGCTACTGCCAGCTGGTCATTGGGAGGATACCCAGTTCAACTGGTCCAGTGACACAGAGAACCCATTAAAGCTGGTTTTCTGATGACAACAGGATAACATCATCGCTGACTAGTCGACGTCCAGTTGACTTTCACAACAACAATATTGGCTCAAAAACTGGAAGTCGTGCAGCCCCTCATAACATGGATGTATATGAGAGGAAAGATTTTTTTCCCCTACATCTTCCTCTCCTACCAGTTATGTTCTTAACTTGTAACCAGCAGCAAATATATAGCATAATTTCCTCAGAGCTTGGGGGTCTCAGGGTTAACCTAAATTTTTCATTTTTAAAGTATTACACTAAAATTATATTGTAATCACTGAGTTTATGGTGATAGCAGTCCACCAGAACACACACCCACTGGATGCGTCGCCCACTTTATCTCCATCTACGGTTGGCTTTACCTGGATCAAATCATGATAAAGTGCAAAAACAGATGCCGTATATACCCCCTTAACAAAGGTATGTCTTTGTGAAACTTGAAAGTGAGGATGTACAGTGAGGTCTGACTGACTTTACCTGCTGTCAGTGATGCCTCTAACATGATTAGTAAGATAGTGAAAATGATATTTATTAATCACCGCTTTTTAAAATACATTTATATGAAATTAGACATCAAATCATATTGGTTATCTGTCCTGTCAGGCCCTTTGCTTGGTGCTTTTATTTGCAGATTGCTTAATGCGTCACTCTCTCAACTCTGCTAATACACTGGATATTTTTGTACTTAATGTGTGATTTAAAAGAAAATTAGAAAAATTTGAATATTCAGTATAACTGTAATTAAAGAAAATCACTTTCGGCTTTTCCCGTTTAGGGGTCACCACAGCGAATTGTCACACTGACGACTCGCATGTTGACATTTGGCACGTGCTTTACGCCAGATGCCCTTCCTAATGCAACCCTGATTCGAACCCGGGCCGCAGCGGTGAGAGCGCTGTAATTAAAAACAGTATTCTGAAGGCTGCCAGAGATTAACTTGGTAACTTTAGTGCATTTTTAATTACACTTTCATTTATTTCCAAAACTATAAATAAAATTATGATGAAAATCCCATCTATATACTCAAACATTTTAGATCACCTCCATGTTCCCAGTTGCTATCGGTGTAATCCCACAGCTGCACACACCTGTGTCATTCTTTCTACAACTAAAGTCAAGCATTGTTGGGATAGATTGCACTGCTGCAGAGGTTCCCACCGATGTGTTGTACTTGTAGGTCTTGTAGGTTGCTTAGCTTTCACTTTTCATCTGGAAAGTCTGCACACTGTGCTTCCATTCCATCATGTGAAGCCGACCGCCTTGTTCTTTTCTTCTACACAGCCCAGAGGTGTTTGTGGCTCATTATCCTGCTACAGGATGAAATCCTGAAAAACTCTGACATCCTTTGTTAATGGCCTTTTTCCAAATTATGGTTTAGAGGGTTTAGTACTAAGGTCTTTTCCAGCACTGCCTTTGTACAGAGAGAATTTGTTGTTGTAAGTCATCAAAAAACCTGTAGGAATAGTTTGCATCTGTTTTCAAGGTTTCATTTACTTCCACTGCTGCAGCAACGATGGAAGTTAACCTATTACTGGACATTTTTAGTTTTATTTATTTTATCTGTGTCTATTTACTTCTTAGTTGTTTACCATTTACAGTTATACACTGACCTTGAACTGTGTAAATTTCATAAAGACAACTGGAAAAATAGAGGTGGCCCCAAACCTTTGACTGGTAGTGTACATAGGGTACACCAGTCTGAAATACCATATTACAGAACTATTAACCTAGTGTTACTATCTGCATAACATAAAAAGTGTTTGTATGAAAATCTATACTTTTAATTTAACCAAGAATCCTGTATCAAAAATAGGCATGGGTACAGAGAAGCGATCTAAACTTGGTATCAGTACTTAACTAGTCAGAACCAAACTTAACCCCTAGATTTGGGCTAAGCCCCAAATGTTTAATGTCTGGCTTCGCCCCTGGTTGTGTCACTGATTTTAGTACTGCAGATTTTGCATACCATTGTTTTCTTTTACTACCATCATTGACAACATAATCCTTGAATCTAAATTTTATTATTTTTGGACTTGGCCCCTCCAGGATGGCTGCATTTTGTGTTGCCCTCTGCTGGTCTGCTGTATTCTGGTAGGTTGCCAGGTTTGCGTGTATTGCACTAGAAATCACCCAATAATGTTTCAGAAACAAAACATACCTCTCAGTATCTAGAAAAATGCAAATATTTAACTTTGTAAAAATGAAGTAATTTTGAGTCAGCTTTCTAAAGTCAAAATCAAGCCTCAAATCATGAATACCAAGTCAAAGCCATGTTGAGACCTTTACCCGTATTAGTCAAGCAAGTCTGGTGTAACTTAAGTTTGACTCAATTCAAGTTATGTGACTTGAGTCCCCCACCTCTCCTCTCATCTTGCTTTTATTCGTGGGAGGAAAATGCCAAACACACTAATATGCAGGGAAAAAGTAGTCATGTGCCCAAGGAAAATTGCAACAACTGCTTTTG